CGTCGCGGTTGTACAGCGAGCACTGCCTGTATCTGTGTAAGAAACTGGACTGGCCAGTCTCAGCCTTGGATGAATTTCCGTGCCAAGCCAGAGTCTGAATTTAGGCACAAATGATGGTGGCAACACACACACACACACCGGAAGCCGATCCGTTCCTCACCTGGGCCAGGGCCGACTCCAGCATGCTGCAGAAGATCCCAAATTGCTTGAAGTTCCCCGTCTTGTGGGTGAGGTCTTCGATAACTGTGGGAGGGGAGACGAGAAAACTGACTTTCTGCAGAGATGGGAGGCTGGCAGTCCTACTTGCTCTGCTAACTCCGGGGTCCTGGTAGGACGGGCCTGCCCCCCCAGGTCAGAAAGACCCTGGAGGGGAGGGTTACAGGTACTTGACTTACAACACTTCATTTAGCGTCCGTTCAGAGTTACAATGGCAATGGAAAAAAAGGATCTGGGACCCTTTCCCCCCACTTACGACCGTTGTTAGCCTCCCCAGGATCACGTGATCAAAATTCAGACGCTTGGCAGCCGACTCACATTTATAACAGTCGCAGTGTTCTAGAGGGGTCGCACGATCCCCTTTTGCGACCGTTTTATAAGCAAAGATTTGCTTAATGACCGCCTGATTTACTTAACTGCACCGAATCGCTTAACAATTGTGGCAAAAAAAAGACTGCAAAATGGGGCAAAACTCCCTTAACCACGAAAATTTTGGACTCAACTGTGGTCTTAAATTGAGGATAGCAGCGGTAGTTTTCCTTAACTTCAAAAGGGCTTAGGAGGGTAAGGTCTTTCTTGACCCTCGTGCTCCAAATGACCAGGCAGATTTACCTCCGCAAAAGGACTTGGGGGGGGCCTTTCTCCCAGAGGCTCTTCCCCACCGTCCCCCAACCTTCTCGCCTGGTGCCCCTCCCTGAGACTCACAAGGGGCATCAAACTCCCCTCGCCACTGGTCGGTGGTGAGCCGGTCCTCCACTTCCACTTCTAGCAGGTTCCTTTCCGTCGTCATCCGCACGACGTGCTCGGCTCCACGGAAAACGTAGTCTACTTGCAGGCCATAGTCGCTCCGCTTGGCCATGGCGGGACCGAAGACTCACCGCCACTTCTCAAAACGAGCTCGTCGCCTGGCTTGGGACAGGACAGGAGAGGAGAGACGCTTTTACCGATAGGCAAAAGGGGACAAGAACCTTCTGACATCACGGGGTCTCCATCTTGCCTCCAGTTGGAGGTTTTGAAGAGACTGGACGACGATTTGTCTGAAATGGGACAGGGTCTCCTGCTTGAGCAGGGGGGCAGACTAGGTCCCTTCCAGCTGTACGACCCTAGGATTCTATTCTCCAAAACACTTGAGGGCAGGACAAGAAGTAACTGGTGGAAGATCATTAAAGAGAGAAGCAACTTAAAACTAAGGAAAAATTTCCTAACAGTGAAAATTAACCAGTGGAACTACTTGCCTGGGTGCTTTATCACTGAAGGTTTTTAAGAAGAGACTGGACTACCATTTGTCTGAAATGGGATAGGATCTCCTGTTTGAGCAGGGGGTTGGACTAGATGACCTCCAAGGCTCCTTCCAGCTCTGTTCTGATTGATCTCAGGCCAGGCACAGGATTCCTGCATGAGGAGATCCACTGAACCTTTTGGCCAGGGGGCAAATGTGGGCAGCCCCTGGGATTTCATCCCGAAACGCAGCTTGGCTTTGCGGCTGCAGCAAAAGCTTTTTCTCGATTTTGGTTGAAGGAGGGAGAACCGGTGTCAGTGAGTGGAAAGGAGCATCGGAAGAGATGCCCTCTGACACAAAGGGAAGGGCTGAGCGGGATCCCAAGAGCCAAGGATTCCTGGGATCTACCTGCAGGATCTAGAGAGCTGCTACTGGATCAGGTTGCTTAGAGCTGGTTAGGCGGCAACCGGGTCAGGCTGTTTGAGACAGCTAACCGATCGGCCTCAGTAAATGACCCAGGTGTGACATTCGCACAACCTGCCAAACTGTGCTCATTTTAGCTGATTGTCTGATTTTTGTGGATGGTTGTACAAGCCCCAATCCAGCCTCCATCTGTCTCCACCAGCCAAACCTTCACCCACTAAGTGGGTTTCAATATCCCTGGGCAAACTAAGAAAATGGGTCAGTTCAGTAACCTGGTTAACCCTGTTGTGTCAACCCAAATGTTGGATTCATCCAAGAAGCTCTATCTTTAACCTGTGTGTGTGTGTGTGTGTGTGTGTGTGTGTGTGTGTGTGTGTGTGTAAGGGGATTCAGTAAGGGGGTGGCTAGTTTAGGGAGGGGGGGCGATGAGAAAGCAGGCAAATGCAGACTGGCTGGCTGGGCAGCTGGACTACACAGCCCATCATCCCACACAGCCTGAGTCCCATCTGGGTCGGCCATCAGTTCCCATCATCCCCCCCCCACACACACACGCCTTCAGCAAGGGCCATCTGACGTCCAGATACCCGGGCAGCCGGACCCCAAGGAAGACTTGGGTGTGGGTCGGACTACACTTCCCATCCTCCCCAGCCACAAGCGCTCGACGGGAGGCGCCTTCCAGAACAGCCTGGCGTCTTCGGCGAAGGTCCCAAGCAAACCGCCTCCCCCCCCCCCCACGCGCCGGCCCAGCACAAGAGGCTGGCTGGGAGTGATGGTGTGTGTAGTCCACAACACCCCGCGAGCGCCCGGCCGGGCAAGATTGAAGGCAACGGAGAAAGGAAAACGGGGGGGGCAGCCCGAGGAAGGAGGGGGACCCGGGGGGGTGCAAGACGAGCCCCCCCCCGAAAACAACTTACCTGCGCGCCGCTCCACCTCAACTGCCGCCTCTGAGAGGCTCCACCCTCGCCCCGCCATTGGTGTCTGAATCAACCGATCACGCGCCGTCATTGGTTCCGGGCAACGTCAATCATCCCCCCCCCGTTCGTGGGATGCCTCGCCGCCCGTCATTCAAAAGAATAGGGCCTGCCCCCTTTGCTCGGTTCGTTTCTTGAAGAGCCGCCCTATCGGCAACGCGGGGGGCGGCAGCTCGTCCCTGATTCGCCCCTTGAGAACGCATAGAACCCCGCCCAGAACCCGCCCTTTCGCGTGCCTGTTGGAGACTCAGCTTGTCAATCTTGAGGTCGGCATTCCTGCAGCTGGAGCGGAGAAAGGATTGGAAACAATATGCCGCTTTCGCGACACCTAGCGGCTGTTCGGGGCGAAGCGCAGCGACCCGCACTAAAAATGCGGCGTTTCAGACAAGAGACTTGGCGGGTTCGAGACCCGCTTGCGACGGCTGTAACGCATGCAAAGGGTGCGTGTTGCAGAAACCGAAAGCAAAACTGCTTTCTTGCCTTAGTTAATGCACGATTGGTTAAAGAGAGTGTGAAACAGTGTCCAAGAGCTAAGATCAATAAAGTATAGTATGATGGACTATTATAGCATTTTCCAACCTTGGCAACTTGCAAATGTGTGGACTTCAACTCCCAGAATTTCACCATTCCAAGTGGCACCTTCTCGCTTGTCCAGGAATTCTACTTAGGCTTCAGAGTGGACTCAGAGACAGTTGATCAATTGGGATTTAGCAATGGGACATCACAAGCTTGTGCTCGTTCCTCTCTCCCTCGTGGGAACAAAGATGAAGGATGGTGATGGATCAGAACAAGGGGCCTAGCCACGGCATACGCATTCTTGTGGACATTCAGAAGAGGACTTTCCTTCTCTGAACAAGAACAGGTTAGCCTTCTGGCAGATGTACCTCTCTAGACAGCTTCGACCTGCCAAGCACAAGGGTGGAGGCCTTGGATGGGGAAAATGTCCACCTGTTCATCCTAGAACTGCAAGATGTTTTCATGGTAAGGTCTGCACATCTCCCTGGCAGCTTCTAGCTTGTTCCCAGGATTTAGGTCAAAGGGCAATTTGGACTTTTTGCTGGAGGTTCACCTCGAGCAGGTTCTTTACCTGTTTCCATGTGTATCTCAGGCTTAGATATCAAGTGGACGGTGGGATTCTAAGGACTGCCTTTTATGGAGAGGCCTTTACAATTTTTTTGCTTGTGACCTTCAGGAACTGGCATCTGTCCAGGAATCTTTTTCCAGACCCTTTAAGGCCCACCGATCTGTGTTTCATCCATCTTTTGTGGTTGATTGGTGCACCATTGTAATGTCCTGATCACGATAAGCCAGCTTAAAAAAAAAAGCATGGCTTTTGAACATGGTAGGTGCATCCATGTCAGCCATGTGCTTTCCTAAATATAAGTGTAGGTGTGGCAAATAGTGGCCTCTGGCCTCTTATGAGGTCCTTGATGCAATCTGAGCTTGGTTGTTGTTTTCTTGCAGATGTTTCATGATCCAACTAAGTAACATCTTCAGTGCTAGAAGGAAGGGGGGTTGTGGAGGAGAAGGAAAAGTAGGGGAGGAGGTGCAGGAGGAGGAGGACTGTGGGGTCCTTGGTGCTCTCTGAGCTTGGTGGTTTTCTTGCAGACATTTCACTACCCAACTAGGTAGCATCATCAGCACTATAAGGCAGTTGGGTTCATGGAGTAGAGAAGAAGAGAAGAACCGTGAGGTCCTTGGTGCTCTCTGAGCTTGGTGGTTTTCTTGCAGACATGACCCAGCCGGTTACCATCATGGGTGCCCTGCTAGCATCCTTGGTGCATTACCTAAACCAAAAATGAAGCCGAATTTTAAATTGGAACCAAGGGCAATTTGCAGCTTTTGTGCCCAGGGTCAGCCAATGCCGAAGCTCACATTGCAATAAAAAAGGGGGGGGGCTTTTTTCTTGGCAGGTGAAGGGATCTTTGCAGAAGATCTTTCGATGTCTCCGTGTGGTCAGGTTCAATTCCAGAAAGATAAAAAGAGGGAAGATCCAGATGGAGATATTTCAGAAGAAAGAGTTGTTTTTCCCAGGCCATTTAAATTTCAGACTCCACCTCTTCAGTACAGTTATTAAATTGCATTTTAATGTCTTTCTGTGTTTGTGTGAGTGTGTGTCCCGTGCTCATTCAGAGAGGTGTGCCTGGCTGGGACTGATTCCACTGGTCACCATGCTCTCCACTTCATCCCAGCCTTCTCCAGAGTGTGTTCCAGCTGTGGCCCAAGGGCGCTTTTTTGAGCAGTGGAAGGATTATTTGAATCTTTCCAGAGTTGTGATGGAGATTGTTGAGGAACGGAAGAAGCCTCCTCCTTCTCCTTGGAAAGACCCCTTGAAAGTCATCGTTCTGCATCAGGTGAACGGCAGCGACAACAGCAGGATCCACAGTTCCAAGAAGGGCATCCGCAAAAGAGACCCCCAGCCCGTTCAACCGACCCCGCAAGGGATTTGCAACTTTTGCAAGCACAACGGAGAGTCCAAGAAGGTCTATTCTTCTCACACCTTGAAGAGAGCCGATGGTGTGGTGGTCTGCCCCATTCTACGCAATTACACCTGCCCGCTTTGTGGGGCCACCGCCGACAAGGCCCACACGCTGAAATACTGCCCCCACAATAAGGCGAAGCAATCCTTGTACCGCAGAAGCGGGCGCAACTCGGCTGGACGCCTGATCAAGAGATAAAGTGACACCCGCAAGGGGAGCCCCCCCTCCCCAATCCGTATCATGGAAAAGCGGAATATAGAGAGAGAGGGGAAAAAAAGTTAAACGCCGGGAGAGCGGATGGCAAGAAGGAAAGGCACCACCTAAGATTTGGAAGGAAAGAAATATACCAGGCAGTAAACTGGGTTTCCCGCATTTGCAGTTCTTCAAAAATCATAGTTGCAAAAGAGGAGACAGCTTTGTTTTTTTAAAAAAGAGGAAGATTTGTGTATTTCAACTGCCCCAGAATTCAGTTTCGGATAGAAACAAGCAGGACTCTGTTTTCCAAAATTAAACCTGTAAGTTCAGAAGTCCTTTTTTGTTTGTTTGTGATCGTCCTGAATTATGCTCAAAGGAAGTTGCCATTTGCCTTAAATTAACCACGATAAAAAGGAAAATAGGTGGTGGATTTCTTTCCTTTTCTTGAAATATTCCTTACTGGCCCATGTTAGAGCAGTTGAGATACTTTGAACAGTATTTATATCTGGGTTTGCAATATGTAAGTTTATTATGATAATTTTTTTAAAACTAGTAACATGTTGACGTTTAATAAACAGTCTTTGTTCATGATTGCATCAAATCACTGCTTCACTTTCTGTGCTTTTAATCCCTGGCTTGAATTTTCCCGGGTTCTCTGCAGAAAAGTCACGGGATACTTAAATCTCCCCTCCAGATTTAATGTTGATTTGGAACTAAGTAGGTTTCACTTTGTTCAAGTTGAGTAGTTGTGTCTTAAGGTGCGGTTCTTGCAGTATTTTGATGCAGCAGTTAGAGGGAATAACGTAAAAGCTCACAAACTGAAAGTGATTCTCTCTTCTGTGCCTTTTGCAGCCGGTGCAAAAGTTGAAAAGCAACATTTATTTCTGCAATCCGCATAGCTTTTTAATGCTTGGGAGGATCAAGTCTTCACTTCCAGCAGTGAAATCTCTCTGGAAAAATTCTGGATTCTCTTTTTTGGCTCTTGATACTTGCATAACTATCATTCTGTTTTGCCTTGTACGCGTTTATTGTGGTATGGTTTTCTATAACTTAAGAGAGCACGCAGAGAGAGGGCTGCCACCCGTGGCTGGTATTAGATTTGCCTTGTCTGCATGAGGAAGAATGGATTTATAAGCAGTTTAAAATGAAACACAACAGGCAGCCATGCTTATTTTAAAAGTTTGGAAGTGTCACAAAACGTTCTAGATTTTTACCGCCAGAGGCAATCAGACCTATCCTCCTGGAGCAGTTTCTACAAACATTATCACCTGAGCATTCCCAGGGGCTAGAAACTTGATTCGTTCATATCACGCACCCAAATGCACTTTTCTGACAGTTTGCAATCCGTGAGAAACAAAAATGATTAAATAGTCAGCTGGGCATTTGGACCAAATTAGGAAACAGCCTTGGCCCCCAAACACCAGGCAGTTTGCTTGAATAGCAACAATTCTCCAATAACCATTGAAACCCCCCCAGGGGGGCATCTAGGAAACAGAAAATATAAGATAGGGAGGGAAAGACCTCTTCAGCCCTCCACCAACTAGTGCTTCTAGATGTGTTATGATTGTAGCTCCTAGAATATGTTTAACATGTCTCTAAATCAGTGATCAGCTGAAAAACACTAATTGAGTTCAGGCAGTTAAATCACGTTAAGATGGGCGGACTTCAAGTCCCAGAATTCCCCAGCCAGCATGCTTTGGTCTTGGATGATTAGGAAAAGCAATTTGGCGGTAGAGTTGAACAGCCTTACTTAGCCTATCCCGGCCTCATGGGAATTATGGGTGTTGTAGACAAACAATCCTGGAAGATGATGAAGAAGGAGTTCCAATTAGAAGAGTGTTTCTCGACCATGGCCAGTTGAAGATGGGTGGACTTCATTGGATGGCTAGGGAATTCTGGGAGTTGAAGTCCACCCATCCACAAGCATACTAGTGTGCTGGCTGGGGAATTCTGGGACTTGAAGTCCACACGTCTTAAAGGTCACTGGCATGCTGGCTGGGAAATTCTGGGAGCTGAAGTCCATCCATCTTCAAGTGTACTAGTGTGCTGGCTGGGGAATTCTGGGAGTTGAAGTTCACACGTCTTAAAGGTCATTAGCAAGCTAACTGGGGCTTGAAATCCACACATCTTTAAGTAGCCAAAGTTGAGCAACCCTGAATCAGAACATTCCCACCACACTGATCTTCTTTAGAGCCACCAGCTTTCACTTCCTATGGTCCACCTTGGGTCGCCCGTGCTCAACCTTTTGCTCACTCTTCCAGCTCAACCCGGAGGTACCTCCAGGTCTGCCGTGGAGCATGGGTGTCACAGTCCATCACCGTTGCAGGTGACCCCAGTTGAAGGAAGACTGTTGTTTTCGGCAGAGAACTGGGGGAGGGGCTGCATTTAGATGCTCCTCCTGGATTTTCCTGCTTCCCCCCCCCCTTGTTGGATGCACGGACCTTTGATAAGCCCCCCCCCCCCCAGCCAGACCATTCCTGGGTTTGCATGGCTGGCTTGCAGCTCCTCCTTGCAGAAAACTGTCCCTTCTTCCCTGCCAGCAAGATTCCTGCCTCCCTCTTCTCTTTCAGACTGCAGAAAGTCCTGGGTCAAACTGGAAGTTTGTATCTTTCATGCAGACGACCCTCCTGCTGGAAAAGGGGAGGGGGGTTGAGGGAGATACTCTCTTCCAACGGACCTAGCAGCTTCACAGAGAAGGGAAAACATTGGCACCATCCTGCCCCCCCCCCTCTGTTCATCCCCAAATAAGAGGTTAGGGGGTCTTCTCAAAGTGCCCCGGACCCCTCATTTCAACCCTGAGCTACGAATACTCTCCTTTATTGATAACAGGAGATTCATCGTGAGGGTGGGGACTTTCTCACAACCCCCAAGTGGTCTTTTATTCCAAAGCAGCTTTACTCAAACTTGCTGGGGGAGAGGAGGGCTTTTCTAGGTGGGGCCAGGCTGCAGCCGGGAAAGGGGCAGTTGGAGCCAGCAGCCGGGAAGGAGGGGTGGGGTCTGCCTTGCACCCCACCCAGAAGACCTCAAATTTGGGCTACAGCTCAGCATGGGTGGGGGATACCTGCAGACCCATGGAATCGAGGGGTTCACAGCTTCACGTGGCTAAAGTTGGGGAACACTGGTTTCATTCGTTGGGTATTGGTTGAATGTGGAGATCATTAAACCATGAAGGAGTGGGTCCCCCCCCCTATTGTTTTTGCACATAAGTCATTGCACACAAGAATTCTCCTAAGAAGGGGAAATGATAATAATGCTTTTGCATTGAGCTGGAAGTTTTACCTTTTGCTATTTCCAAGTGCTAGGAGCTGAAAAAGAATAAAACCTCTCTCTCCCTCTCCCCCCGCCCCCGTGTGTGTGTTTGTGTGTGTGTGAGAGAGAGAGGGGGGGGCATTTGAAACAAGAGCAGTAGAATTTCTTCCTGTGATCAAACAAAATTCACATCCACTTGGAGCATGTTTCTTTTTTGTGTTTTTTGTTTTGTTTTGTTTTCCATCCGGTTGGATAAATGTTTCCTTCTTTCTCTCCACCGTGTTTGCTACACTTTGCTTTTAGGACCGCCAAGCTAACTGCAGCAGGAGTAACACTGTGGTACAACCGTGCAGCAGGAAGGCCTTCAGGGACCCCTGGGAGGAACAGGGCGTTATGCAAGACCTTCAGAAGTTGTGGGTGCTCCATCACTGGAGGCTTTTAAGAAGAAGCTGGACAGGTCAAGGACTCCTGCTTGAGCAGGGGGTTGGACTAGAAGACCTCTGAGGTCCCTTCCAGCTCTGTTCTGATTGATTGATTGATTGGAGAAACCGTGGGGCTAAGCTTCCTTCCGCTGATGCTGACTGGCTGTTGTGCAGCATCCCCATAGTCATGTGATTCAAATTTGTCTGAAACGGTATAGGGTTTCCTGCCTGAGCAGGGGGTTGGACTAGAGGACCTCCGAGGTCCCTTCCAAGTCTGTGATTCTATTCGAGCATTTGGCAGCCTTGGAAGGGGTTGAGGTCAGCTGGGTCCCTTTTTCCTGGAAGGGGTTTCCTCCTGGAAAGGCAAGCGACGACGAACGGCTTTGGATAGCGAGACGGGCAGCGTATAAATTTAATACAGGTGGTCCTCGCCTTACAACGTTCATTTACTGACCGCTTGAAGTTACAATGGCCTTGAAAAAATGGCCTTACGACCGTTGTCCACGCTTGCGACCCTCGTAGCATCCCCAATGTCTCGGGATCAAAATTCAGGCACTGGGCAACTGACTCATATTTATGACGGTCACAGTGTCCCAGGATCACGCGATCCACTTTTGCGACCCTCTTGACGAGCCCAGTCGATGGGGGAAGCCAGGTTCACTTACCAACCGGGGTTACTAACTTAAGAACTGCAGCGATTCTCTTAGCAACTGTGGTAAGAAGGGGGGGGGGCAAACTCACTTAACAAACGTCTCGCTTAAGAACCGAATTGTTGGGCTCCCTTGGGGTTGTAAGTCAAGGACTATCTGTAGAAAGCGGTACAATCATTTTCATGTCGTCTTGACGCAGCCGAGGAGTGTCCGGTCCTTTTTTGAGGGCTGCAATTCACATTGCCTCGTTCCTTAAAGGAGAGGGCAAATGCTGGGGAGAAACGGGGGGGGGGCGCGTTTTTTTCTCCTCTGAAGCCCAGGCGTCACCATGGCAACCCCGGGCATCCCTTGTTGGGGCTGCCTCTCATCGCCATGGGGACAAGAAAGAAGCGAGCAGGGTGGTGCCAAGTACGAAGAGGAGGAGGAGGAGGAGGAGGAGGAGGAGGGGTAGAAAGAGGAGGAGGGGAGAACATCTGCAAGAGGAAGTCAAAGCTGGGCCTTGGAGAAGCACCAAAGATTTGGACTGCATTTGGTGGCTTCACTTTCATTCTTCATCCTTTAACCCACATCCGTTTCTCCAGAAATGAACCCTGTTCCACTTGGGGAGGTTTACTTCCGAGTCCTGGGAGAATCTTGTGGGAAGAGGCTGAGTCCTGGGCTCCTGATGGGTCACAGAATAGAATAGAATAAGAATAAGAATAAGAATAGAATAGAATAGAATAGAATAGAATAGAATAGAATAGAATAGAATAGAATAGAATAGAATAGAATAATGGAGTGGAATGGAATGGAATAGAATAGAATAGAATAGAATAGAATAGAATAGAATAGAATCTGGAAGGGACTTGGAGGTCTTCTAGTCCAGCCCCCTGCTCAAGTAGGAGAACCTATACCATCTCAGACCAGTGGCTGTCCAGTCTCTTCTTAAAAATCTCCAGCGATGGAGCGCCTACGATTTCTGGAGGCACCTGGTTTATACTTCAGTTAAACTCTATGGGAATTTTCTTCTATTTACAGATAGTTCTCAATTTACGACCACAATTGGGGGCCAGAATTT